TGTGCCTCATTCGCAGTTACCTTCTGCTTGCCACTCTCTTCATCCTCGAATACATGTATTCAGCATACCCATGTCAAGAGACATTCCTCATTTTACCATTCCAGTGTTTTAAATTCTAAAAGTTCAATGTAACGAAGTCTTTGACACCGCTAAGCAATCATAATTCACTGACCATCACACCTTTGAATTCCGATAGCTAGCACTGATCCCAGCGCATTTGAAATTCTCCTTCAATTCTTGCGCTACACGTAACAAAAAGCCTCTCTATGAGCCACGCAAATTCGTAAATGAGTAGATGCTGTCCAAATATATCCTGATAATGATTTTCATTCGGGACAGTTTCATTGGAGGAGAGTCTAATTTGGCATACGGCTAAATTTTTTAAGAACTAATCGGAAAGCATTAGGAGCAGTTAATATTTTTCCATCATGAAACAGAAGTTTTAGATATGAATATTATTTTACTGTAGATGTTTTTCTAGTTTTAAAAGAGATGCATGTAAATTTAGGTAAATATGATTTAAATGAAATTATTATGCCATACAGATATGGTAAAATCTTAAGATAATATTGGTAATAAAAATAAATAGATAACCAAATAATGTATTAATTTAATCAGAGTAACGTTACTAATAAAAGTACAGTTAAGAAATTCATCGCTTAGATTCCCACCCCCCCCCCATCTTTAAACCGTGCTTGTTTTTGGTATCTTCGTTAAAATCTCAATTATTACTTGCACGCTGTGAAATAAGTTATAAAGAATGAAAAAATGATTACAGGCTTTTATTGACAGGAAAATTGTGTCCTTAGGTAAGAAAAAGTGAAGTTCTTAAGAATATGATATGTAGTTTTTTATTGTTTAAATTGCTCCATTAACGAAGGTTTCAGTTATAAATATTTATTTTAATTATTCCCATGCTATATGCTTTCTGTCTTGAAAGAAAAAGATGTGTATCCTTTTGTTCAGTTGCAGGCTGTTTTTGTTGTATTTTATTTGAAACGATGGGCTGATATTCCCTACGAGTGTTGTAATATTCATGAATTATAAATTCCTTCTTTCAATGGCATGATGCTCTTTGTATTTCTTTCCTTTTTTAAACTCGGTAAAATACAAGGCTGATGAAATAATTTGCTTTCTTAAGAAAGAATGCGGCGTGGCAATTTTGTGTGATGTAATTGCATTTTGTTTGATGCACACGACAAAATTGTTTATTTTATTGTAAATTTTTTCCCAGAATGAAATATGAAAAGAAGGATACTTTTGCCCACAGTCATTTTTATACAGAGTAAAAGTATTGGAATGAAGTCCTCCCCCGCCCATATCTTGCGATTCTGTGAAAAGTAATTAGGATTATATAACACCATAAATAGGGATATATTAATTTAATTTTAAACAAAAGCTTTATTTATATTCATTCATATATGTATTATAAAATAATAGTTCAATATTTTTTATGGAAGCTGTATAAGGTATTTTCTTCATCCTTTCCGCAGGCTTTCGTAGTATAATTGGAAGCATACACGACACGTATTCGAGAGGTCCGGGTTCGAGGCCTAGCGATAGCATTGCACATTTTTCTCATCTTCTGCTTCGAAATAAACCTAATGACTCTACAGTAGTTTTGCATTAATCAAGGCTCTCGCTTTGTCTTTCATTGCAGTGACTGCTTTTAGTTAATTTTTCAAGTTCTTTTACAAGTATGAAGCCCACCAACGGCCGAACAGTAAAGTCGCTGAAAACTGGTAGTTCAATCAGAGGTTCCAATCCCGCAAACGGACCACCACCCGCAAACGAAACCACCCGCATTGGTGGTTTCGTGGTTCCCCTCTTATGTAACGTGTATACGAGCCAGTTTCCCTTAGAAAGACTTCCACGGAGGCATTCCTTCTCTTAGGCAGATAGCCCTCGAAGCTTTGCCTTAATCACATTAATCAAACCAAATCCTTTACAAGTATGTGATATTTTCAGCTACAGTAAATCTTTTAAGACAGTCTTTGCTTTTTCAAGCTATGGATATGCAAAATTCGACAGAAGTATTTTCTTTGTGGTTAACGATGCTGAATCTGAAGTACTGCCATTGTTTTGTGTTTCCTAGACAACTCTTCCTGAGCTTAGATGGTCTTGTCATATTGATAATGGTATGTTTAACTAAGCATTCATGTTGGTGCATTCTTTCATACTGTCCAGCCACCCTTTTTCGAAGGCTTTAATTTTTTATTTTGTTTTTGTACACCGTGGAAAATTTAATGATTCATCTGACGTACTTAAAAAAATATATTAAAAAATAAGAAAATAAAACGTTTATATTTTCAAAATGCTTATATTTATCTTAAATTCCGGTTAAGAACGAGACTTCCGTTGGCACAAAAGCATAAAATAACTGCAATACTCTATAATGTTAAATAGAAACGCGAGCAAATAACGTAAATAAACATTGTCGCTGTTAATAAATAAGACTGTAGAATCATTAGGGATTGATTCACCAAGCAATAAATCCAAATGCAGCTTTTTTAATCCAAATGTAAATCTACTGAAAAATAACGCAAATTATTTATACCTCGCAATTTAGCACTGAGCAAAATGGGACAGGCATTCAAACTCGCAGATAAGGAAATTAAAATGAAAATACTTGCAAAAAATTTGGTAAAAATTTTCCTAATACTTTTGTAAACTACTATATACTTTGTGAACGTAAATCGCATACACATAATCCAGGAAGTTAAAATCTTATTAAATATTTTTGTATCTAGGTTTATTTTTTTCATTTTATTTTTAGAATAGTGTTAGAACCTTACAGCCAAGGAGAGCAGAGCGTTTTGGTGGAGTCAGGGATGCGTTTTAGGTTGATTGAATGTCTTCATAGTTATCACCTGATTGACCTTCCTCATTCCGAAAGAGGAAATCTGTAGGTGTTCTGGGGTGGGGCCTTGTCACTTGAGGTGACAGGATTTCAACTAGATCGTTCCGAGATTGGAATGGACGGCTTTTTTTAATCTATGGATGATTACTGATAAATGAAGCTAATATTTCTTCATAATTGAACGAAACTAATGCGAACATTTTCGTGGCGGTTTAATCACATACTTTGTGTTAATATTGCAAAGAATTTTCCATTCAATCCTGGCTTCAGAGACATTTTTGTGCTTGTTATTATCGAGATTAGAGATTAATGGCTTTCTTGTTGACTCTCAGATCCATCAGTGATTTTAGGTCTCCTTTATTGTTATACATAGGCAGTGCTTCAAGTCTGGGATTTATTCCTCTCTTCTTAATTAACTATAAGTTTAATTTTATGATTCTTTCCCACATATGATTTGCACATTTTCTAGTTGCTATTAAAAATTAGGATTTCTGAATTTTTTTCCTTTCTTAATAATGAATATTTCCTCATTTATACAGAACTCATGAAGTTTACTTACGGAACTGTTGAAAAGAGAAAAATATATCGATGTAACTGACAGAAAAAACTTAGTAAACCCATTTTCAGTAAGCGCATATATTCCAATAAATAAAGAAAAATAGCATTATGCGTTTGTTCAAGTTAGGTTTACAGAAGTGCAATTTTTGTATTTTCTTAACTAGTAAATTTTATGTATCCATAATATAAATCTGTTGCTTTAAATAAAAAGCAATATTCTATATTGATACTGAACATATCTTGAACATCTGAGCTTCCAAAGCACTATTTTCGAGGAAATGAAATATGAGCCGTTAACATCATGCATGGTGACGGTATTGTTCTCTAAAATCATGTTGCGGGAAATCTCGATATTTAAAGGAAAATATTTAACTCAGTTCTCGAGAACTGTTGTTATTCTTTGAATTTCTGAATTCCGAATTCTTGCCAAAAATTCTTAGAAAATTTGGGAATTTGAAAGAAATTATTTCTCCTCATTTGATGTATTAGGATTTCTTAAATCTGGAAGTTGTGTTTCCCATCGAATTGTGCTTGAGTCCTTCGCTGTGGGAGTAGTTCGATTATTTAAAATAACACACCATAAGAATGTTGAATGATTTAAAAAAGTCTCTAATTACACTATTTATGCTCAATGATTTTGATGCGCTGAAGTTTGAACGAGGTGCTTTGAATGAAATGGAACGATGCGACATGAAAGAAGGCCAATAATTGCTTTAAAGAACATAACTTTTACTGCAAAATGCAAACCAAATGCGATATGATCTACCTTCAGCCTCACAAATCTGGGAAGAAAATGTTAAAACGTGAAATGAAATTTTGAGAACCTGCCCATTTTCGAATTTTATATCCATCTATATTCCAGTATTTGTGCTGCAACGGCGTTTTATTAGGACGATAATATTTCGTTTTAATGTAGCCTATAAGTTAGTAAGAAACTTAAACGACATTTTTATACTTAAATGTGCATTACGGTATGGCTATGGAACTGAAAGTGCTGATAAATGCAAAGTTTTCCACAAAATCATATGTTAATACAAATGATAGGAACTTCTCCATTTCTGTTTTTTTCCCCAGACATTTAGCATATGAATCAATAAATTGTGTGTATTGAAAAGCTATTTGAACAAATGCTGTAAGAAATTATAAAACACATGCTACTATTATTTAGTGTAATATAAGGATTAAATAAAAAGACAATATAAAATAGCCCATTATTTAATTTTTATTTTGCAAAATTTTTTCCTTAGTTTGATTCCCCCCCCCTCATTAAAACAAATCTTTCCTAACCAAATATTTTTTAGATTCTCGAGAATTGACTCTGGAATATGAAGAAACTAAGTACTAATTCAGGAATTTCTGAACATCCAGGAAACTTGGAAGTTCGGCAAATACAATCACTAGTTGCTTACACAACTGCATAATTAATACTTACGTGCTTAGAGAAATTTATGGTTTACAGAGTTTTTTTAATTAAATAGGAAAACTGCGTAGTGCATTAAATTTAATTTTTATAAGATGCATGTGTAAAATTATTATTTAGGTTTAATTATAGTCTAAGCAATGCTATCCTTTTTTTTTCTAGATGCCAGAAGAACAGGCTTTCTCTATGATGAAGTATCTGATGTTTGATTTAGGCCTTCGCAAACAATATAAAACAGATATGGTTGCTTTTCAAGTAGGTATAATTTTTCTAAGTTATTTGTTTACCATAAACATTTAAGATAGCTTTAACACTTTTAGCATTCCGCTGCTTGTGTCTGCGGCCAGACAAAAGCGTTATGTAATATCTGTGTCATAATCTTTTAAATCTTTTACAAGTAATACAAAATAATTATGTTATTGAAGAAGGAGAATACATTTAACAAAGGTTAATGCTTATTTAAAAAATATTCTTTTTTCCGTGAGCCATGTATCTGTGAAATAAGTGGCAAGAAACGAGATATTGAGTCAACTAGACTTCCTAATCCTTCATTTTGTTCTTTCTTCCTTCATAGGAACCATGTTAAAAGTTGCACATTTGTCATTTAATTCTGCATTGTACGTTCTAAACATTGTGACTAATTTTTTATTTTAATATCTTTCGCATGTATAAGTTCAATACCTTTTGGTTAATTTGTAACGATATTAATCTGTTATCATGTCTACTTCGATACTTCCTGCTGGTCTAGACGGTTTTATTCTTCTGTTTAGATGATCACCTTGGAGGAGTGATATACAAAATCAATGCATTAGGAATCGATCTTAAGAAATGCTGATCACTTTTAGAGTTGGTTGTTTCAGAGAAGCGGTCAATATGAGAGAAGTTTTCTTTTTGAAAGTACTGCATTTGTAACTTTGGTGTGCAATATCACGGTAATTTGATTATTTTTAACTACTGTATAAATATCGAGAGCAGACCACAGTTTTTGACATGGGGTTGATTTCTAAGTGAAGTTGTTTCTAAATCTGTTCTTTGTCTTCCATAAGTGTTTTAAAAATCAGTATAGCGTTTATAGAATTTAATCTTAAGATGATTAAACAAACATTAAATGGCTAAAGAAAAAAGTGGGTATACTATTGTCTTAGCGTTACTAATTAACAAGCAGTGAAATGATGTTTTACATTTGACTGATTTTAGTGTATTTATATATTATTTTGAGATGCGGTGCTCTGTTAGTATATAGGAAGAAACCATCTCGGATTTCCAGAGTTCTGTTTGATGAAAAGAAAACATTTCTAGAAAATGTAGTGGATAAATTTATAAACTGTTTTATAAAGTTTTTGAATCATTTGAAAGCAGTTTGATCGTCGATGCAAGTTTTCCAAAAAGGATTTGTAAATTTAATGTATTTAGAAATATATCTTCTTATTCGTTTCGGTGCAAAGCAAAAAGGTTGCCTAAGAAATTACCCTTTCAATTCTCATGTTTTCTGATACATATACCTTAAAAACATTTTTTTTTTTAAATTCAAATCTCACCCGAGTAGCTAACATTCTTTTATACGAGAATTATGTTGTTTTCTGCATACATAACGGTGTTTCCAATAATGACTGGACATCTATAGGAATATGTTTATTTGAAACTTAAATAGTGTCTGTAAAATGAAGATTCGCCATTTGCCGCAATTTCAGCTTCTACACTTCAAAGAAGATTCTCTATTAGGTTTCTGTTAATATCTACCTTTAGACGTCGACCCACTAACATGCTACCTGCAGATCAACTGACGAGCAGATTCTACCAACAGATAACTCTTTTCAGCCGTAGATATTCCTCATTGCTTATAGCTCATCATTTATTGCTATCGTCACGAACTTTAACGAATTCTATAAAATGCTATCAAGACTAAAAAAACTGCATAAATATTTGATTGATTGGGATATTGGGATAGGCAGTCATCTCAGGAGCCTGTTGACTAGAATTGTGTCTTCACTGGTGGACATTATTTTGCATTGTTTTTCCTGTAACGCAGTGGACGGCTTCATGTTGTTTTTTGGGTTGTTTGATCTGATTCTCAAACGATGCTTCTGTTCATCCCTAAGATGCTCTAAATGGTTGAGAGCTACATCCAGCGCTTAGGTTTAGGCCTTGCTGTCGACTTTATTCACTTCCATTTCCTCAGGCCACTCAGTTATGATTTTTGCTTTTGGAGTGAGCCAGTTTCAGTCTGTGGCTACAGAATAGGAAGCGTAGAATTATACATTATTGTTTCATAGCTCTGAGAGCAAAACTTGGTTGGGGGAAGTGAAAGCGAACCTACTCTAATGGAGGGATTGTCATGGTCACAAACATCCATCAGCTTTCTGCAGTGTGTAGCTTGATTCGTCTTTCCCTAAGATGTTGTTCTAGTATCCGCAGCAGACACACGTTACATATAACAGTAGTCGAAGGGAAGCGTGCCATTTCGTGATTGCTGGCTTATGTGTTGTCGGTCGCTCTCAAAAATCCATATACAAACTTCTCGACAGATAGAATAAGAGCTGGCTTTCTTCCCAAAGTCTTCTCCACGAATGAAATAAAAGCTGTCTTTTCTTCCCGTGGGTTTTCTCCTTTTCACCTGATGAGGCCTGCTTGTTTGATTTCACCACACATCTGAAGTGTCAACGATTCTGATCTGTCTAGCTTAGCAGGTCAGAGTTGGAGCTTTATTACTCTCTCGCGTTTCAGTTTCAGTAATCCATCATTCGCTGTTACCCGTTGTATGTAGGAATTCTAAGGAATCTCACAGTTGTAATGACCTAATGGTTGGCTACCAATGGTCATGATAGAATGACATATGAGCAGTAACATTTACATTTCAATGCATGTTCGGTCGTTAATGTTTTAATAGCTTTTAAGAATGTCTATCGTCAGCACGAGGAGAAATTAAACAGAAATAGTCAATGGCTTCTATAAAATGTGTGGATAACATTCATTTGCATATCAGAATGTTCTGAATTAGATTATCAGCAGAACCAATTTTATTACAAATGATGTATTTAATTTCGGCAGCAGTTTCTTATTGTTTATCAACAACTTGGTGGTATTAATAATTTTTTACTGGTTGCAATACAGATTGAACAAGAAAACAAACGTGAATACACTTCCAGTACAAACTGATGATGTGTGGAATTTGAATAAAAGTTTGATGTTTTCGGAAATGCAAATTTTTTTCCTTTACGTATCATTTTAAAGCTTTGTTATTTCATCATGTTAGATTTTTATGATGCATAAAATATATTACAGTTTTAAATGATAAATTTATATATATATCTCCTAACTTTGCCAAGAAGGCCGTTTTTAAATTTATTGTCTTCTACTTTCAAAAAGGTTCAAATGTATCAGCTTTCCCGTCTAATTCACGACAACTACAGGGATCTATATGAACATCTGGAAAAGAATGATATCGCACCAACTTTATATGCCGCTCCCTGGTTTTTGACATTATTTGCATCACAGTTTCCTGTTGGATTCGTTTCAAGGCTTTTTGGTAAGTGTTTTTCTTCTGTCTTGTAATACGCACCACGTGACATCTGCCAGAGCTTTGCATAAGCAATTAAGTGTATTTTTTCAGTTGTTATGTTTACTGTCTATTATTTGTCTAATGCACTATTATAGGGGCTTAACTAGATTACTCCGCTATGCTCCGTAAATTCCCGCTGGCTTTTTATGCATCTTCTCGTTTTTATGCCATGAGGAAAGGGGTGTGGCAGCCTATGCAGCTTCATGTTTCTATCTCCGTGGTTGTTTAAGCCCACATTCCGAAGAAAAGCGTATTCATTGGGATTACGAGCTCAAGTATAGACTTTTAAATGCTTTTAATATTATTGTGAAGTCTTATCTTAGGATTAGAATGTATTGCTTGATTGTTTCTCAAAAATTTGCATCAAGCAAGTATAGTCAGGTTCCTTTATATTTAAAAATAATCTAAACCTATTTTATTAATCATCGGTAAGTATTTTTGGTTGTAATTACGCTAGTAGTGGAAGTCGTAAAAAACACTCAAGCTCGGAAAAGATTCTACGGTGTTCAGGTAATTCTGTGGGGCATCTATATAATTAATAAAACGTTTTTAACACTTCATTATAAGTCTTCATAATTTAACTGAGAATTTTGTCTTCTTACTGTAGAAAGTGAGTCGAAAGCGCGTGAATCCTTTATTGGTTATGTAAGCATGGATGAACATAATTTCATATCAACTTTACTGATTTGGGGGAGGGGCTCGAAGGATAGATAGTAACTATTAATTGAACAGTAAAGCATAAGGATTGTTTGCCTTGGGTAATGGTTCCGAACTTTGTCTGAAGGAAAAAAAAATCTTGCATATTTTTTACTCAAAGAAAAAAAATCCCCATGCAGTTCACCCTTTTGTGTATTGGAGGGGGGATTATTATTATTGAGTGGTTGGCCACTGCTAAGTCTTATAAGAGTGGAGGAAGCTAAACTGTCGGCCTATCAGTGGCCGAGTAAATAAGGTCCCTGAACAGTGGTATTTCGACCCAGGCTCAATGTCTCGGCAAAATGGCTGGCTACATGGGGTTTTTCTCTCATGTAATGTTAATGCAAGCTATTTCCTTTTAGAAAGCTCTCCACGAAAGCATCCACTGGCCGCGTGTGCTTTATCATAATCAGAACTAACCATCCCACGGAAAGTTGAAGAATCACATTTTGCGACTTATTAATTTATTTATTTATTTGAAAATTATTGATACAGAAAGATTTTTTTCAATACTCTCATTCCGAAGAAATATGTTGGTTTTTGTATCTTAAGAAAAAATTAAAAGTTTGTGGTAACCTACTTAGAAATAGTCTCCACTAAACTTAGACATGTTATCATTTATGATGATCCAGTATATAAAATTTTGCCTGTGTTGTCTTAATTAACATTAATGAGATAGCAGTATAATTTCAGTCCAGTCGTTGTTTTGTGTTCTCAATGTAATATAAGAATTTTGATGTGGCTGTTTCGTTTTGGTAACCTTCGGATATAATTTGCTAAAGGAAAGCTATAGAATTTCATTGGCCGTTTGAAGTCACACCATAGGCTGTCAGACATGGCATAATTAAGTCCTTGTATAGTCTAACATCGCATAAAATGAGTTTCTAAATTCTAGTTTCATTGTCCAGAATTTCAGCCAATGACAGCGATGTGTGTAGCTGCGATTAACTGCCGAGATAACATCTAGTTAAAAGTAATGCGATTTTTTTTTCTTGCAGCAAATGCTGGGATATTGTATCAGAGTTTACAGCTTGTAGAAAATTTCGTGATTGAAATCTCTGAGCATGAAGTGGCGCGGATATTTAGGGCTTCACTTTCTTGGGAGAGAATCATTGAATTGGGCGAACAAGTAACATGCTTTGAACTGAAGACCGGTTAAATTTTATTATCTTCATAAACGGTTCTAGAAAATGTTTCGAAATGGAGTTTGGTGGGGAGAGAATCTGTGATCCTCAGTACTTGAAAGTATGAAAATACAAAAGTTCTGCTTTTTATATATATTCTAATGAAAATGCAGTTGGTTAAGCATACGGGACATCATCATCTCTTTCCTTGTGTTCTGTAGAATGGTCAGTTGAATCTTCTGATTTAAATCTCCTTGAGTATGAGCTGAACTAGGATAATATGTTATTTACTTGATATCAAGGGTAGAGAACTTCATTAGTGTTACTTTAAAAATTTATAATTGCAGTTCCCTACTGAAGTAATTTACGTGATCATAAACTGCACTGAACGTCATTGTCCGACCTCCATTGCTATGATAGTTACCAATATGGAACTGAAAATGCAATTTTAACCATAGTAATGAAAGTTCATCTTCATTTTTCATTACATGGTTTTTTTTCCAAAACAAAACAGTTCCTGGTCATCAGGAAATTTTCCCAGAAGATATGCTGTTGAACTACGATTTTTCGTTGCTTTCCGTTCGCTTCAACATCTTCAAATTACACAGTAGTATTAATATTAAATTATTCTACCCCATCTTTCCAGTGCTTTTTATCACGAAGCAGGGGGCGTTTAATGTGTGGGACAAAATCCGTTGATGATCTTGTAAGGTTTATCCTAAGTTTATAACAGTTATCTTTAGTTAAAGCTACTTTCCTGTCCCTTCTAATTTCAGCTTACAATTTGCTGCCAGAGTGTGTTTTTAGGATCGCGGTTAATGCAAATGAGGAAGAGCGGTACTTAGGTCGAAGTTCCACTGACTTCGTTAGAAAGCCAGAGATTCTGACTAGCGCACATTTGCCTTTTGGCTACACTCTTTCTAAGCTATTACTACACTCGGCCGTATTTCAGGCCCTTGATAGATTCGCCGTTTAGTTAACATTTAAGGGCCAACTCCTTTAGAATTTTGATAGCTTCGGCTATAACGTTTTAGCTAAGCATTAGTTAAGTTTGATTTCTTAGTACTCTTGAGTTCAAGGCCAAATGGAGGCTTTTTGTGCGCTCTAAGACAAGAGCCTTTTGTAAATTCTTATTTTGAGAAATAAAGGGTAATTAACCCTTCTTGAGTTTACGTTTCTGTTTCCTGAGCTAAAGCGATTATTCGCTTACCAGTCCTCGAGGTTCTACACACATAGCTTAAGAGAAGATGTTGGAACCCTATAATCTGTTTATGAGTTTGAGAGAAATAGTACTTAAAAAAGTCTTGTCAGGTTATTGTCGGTGAATGAAATAGTTTCGTTGCCTTTAATCGTATTATAATCTAATCTTGCTAGGGAAAATCTTCCTTAAGAATTTCTGTAGCAGTCTGATAAGGGCTGAACACCGATGATTGATATGTAAATATACAGCTTTGTTATTTCGCGATGTTGCGTAGGGGGTTTGGTAAACTTCGTTTGGCTGCTGTTGTATTCTTTAACTTTTTCCTTCAACGTTTTCTTAATCCAGAGGGGGGGACAGTATGAATAGAGTAGTTTAAGGATTATTATTCCCGACCCTCTTATGATGTGGTTTTTGTATTTATGTAATTTAGAGCGTTATAACTCAATGAATAATTTTACGCATTCCAATATTGTATCATAGTGTTGTTTTCTATGTATACGGCACTGTTGTAATTTATCAGGAATGCTTGTACATTTTAATAGCGAATAGCTAAGCCTTTAAAAGCAGTAATGTTAAGTACTTTAATGTTCTTTTAAAAGTTAAAGCTGTAGATCTATTTATATAAATTTTAATTATTCTAATAGAAACTTTTACGTTCCTTTTTGTGTTTATATATACGTGTGCGTATTTGCTTACCTCTTTCATTCATATTTCTGGTCATAATTCTTAGTTTATTAAATATGGTTTTTAATGTTTGTGTATTGTTTTGAATAATCCTATAAATTAGAACTTTTTGTCGTAGTTTTCGTATGTCCTTCATGGGTGTTTTTCATTTTTGTTATTCATTAAATATGCTTAGCATATTATGTACTTCTGTTTCAGATCTCATATTTCTGAGCGGTATTGATGTGGTTTTCAAAGTGTCACTGGTGCTACTTGGCAATTACAAAACCCATATTTTAACTTGTGACAGTTTTGAATCTACTATGGATTTCTTGAAGACGACTCTGCCTTCTATTGATGTTTTACAGATGGAAATTATTTTCAATCAGGTCAGAAACTAATTTGAAATCTAACCTCCTATTCCCCCTGGCGTATCCAGCTTGTTCCGATTTTGATATTGTACCTGTAATATCTATTTGTATATGGTAAAAAAACGGAAAAATAATTAAAGTATTAAAGAAATAAATAATGCATGCCCTTGAGCTGCATGTGATTGACTTTTAAAGAAATTATTATAATAAGAATTTTTTTATTAAAAATATTATCCTATCCTTGAAAAAATTATTTATGGTGTTAATTTAGATTTAATAATTGGTATTGAAACGTAAAAGAGAGAGAAAATGTTTTAAAAAGGGAACTGAAGTTAGAAAATTATATTTATGGGAGAAACAAATTAAAAACTACTAATCACCTTCAGTTTGATGTTTTAAATAAAACTTTTCAAGGGGTTAGTATTTAAAGCATTAAACCTCGAAGATAAATGAGTGCCGAGCACAAGTTTCGTTCTTCCTGCCACTATGAGATTCAAACCGCTGTTGATTAAAATTTTATATTTCACCATCAGCTGTAATGTATGGTATTGTATTGTAATGTTATTGTCATCAGCGACTGTATTTCCCGGCCATGCTCTGTACCACAAGTTCTATATGCCCTGATGATAACTTTTCAATTAACACCGATGCGTGGCGTAAAGTGCGCCCTGTGGAGGTGTTCTTCTCAAGACGGTTAGTGTCAAGGAGCGACACCAGTTCTGCCAATGGTGATGTGTTGGTGCTTCCCACACTTAGTCCTGTCCTGTTGATTAAAATTTCTCAATATCTCATATTGACAAGAGCTACCCCGACTGGTGTCCGCCGATAACATCGCGGCAAAAACATCGCGGACAAAAACGTCGCGGAGAAAACAACGCAAGGCGAAAACGTCGTGCTACAAAACATCGTGGGAGAAAACATCGCAGTTCTAAAACATCGTGGTACAAAACATCGTCGTCGAAAATAAAGCGGTCCAAAAACTTCGCAGTTTAAAATCATCGTCGTCGAAAATATCGTGGTAAAAAATAAAGTATCTACAAATCATCGCATGACGATAACATCGCAGACATGCTTTTTTCAGGCTTTAATAACTGTAAATGGATATTCCCATAATGATTTGTGAGCGCAAGATGTAAAGAAGGATAATTTTTACTTTCATATTTTTTTTTATTAAATATTAAATTTTTGCTGAGAAAATAAGAAGAAAACTTAAGCGTAGAAAATTAATGCAACTTATAGCACTTAATAGAATTTTAAATCGACAGACCATTAATTAACTAACAAAGATTATTAATAAATCATTTTTATAAAGATTTTACAGATAATTTTTCATAAAAAGTATAATCTATTAAGTTGCATTTAATTTTCTATGCTTAAGTTTCCTTCTTATTTTTTCAGCAAAAATTTATTAGTTAATAAAAAAATGTGAAAGTAAAAATTATCCTTCCTTACATCACTTGCGCTCACAAATCATTATGGGAATATCCATTTACAGTTATTAAAGCCTGAAAAAAGCATGTCTGCGATGTTATCGTCATGCGATGATTTGTAGATACTTTATTTTTTTACCACGATATTTTCGACGGCGATGTTTTTAAACTGCGAAGTTTTTGAACCGCTTTATTTTCGACGACGATGTTTTGTACCACTATGTTTTAGAACTGCGATGTTTTCTCTTTGCGAAGTTTTCTCCCACGATGTTTTGTAGCACGACGTTTTCGCCTTGCGTTGTTTTCTCCGCGACGATTTCGTCCGGGATGTTTTTGCCGCGATGTTTTCGGCTGTAACCACCCCGACTTGCGCACGGGTCTTTACTAGTTTCTAACTGTAAAGTAAATCGATAATCAAAATATACGATACAGATAGATATTGGTTAAACATTGGAAAACAGATTAAAAAATTTAATTAATCCTAAAGGTGTTTTTAAGAATTATGTAAAAATTTTTAAAAGCAAATACGCAAAGAATGAGAAAGCAAATTGGTATTTTGCAAAAAACGTTTTACAAGCAAATATGTAAAGAATGGGCTGGCGAGTTGCCTGATACATATTTGATAATTGAATAAACTATTTTTTAAATTTTGATATAACACATTTAAATACCTTGTAAGAATTTAATTTTACTAACCAGCTATTTTTTGTTAATTACCTTTGCTATTTTCTTGCTTTCCACTTTCCGAATGCCAATTTCTAGTTCGCGTGTATTCAAATATGATAGAAAAGGGATAGTATTTAACCAGTTAACTGTGATTGACGAGTGTACTCATCGTGGAGAAGCGGCACGATTTTGTGTATTGACGAGTATTCTCGTCATGCGTATAATGAAATGGAAAGATAAGAGGGAGGTTTATTTAGTAAGTACTGTACATAATGACAACGTAATAGAAACAGAGAAAAGAAAAATAATAACAAAGAAACCGGAGCTAGTGATTGATTATAATAAAAAAATGGGTGGAGTGGATATGAGCGATGGAATTATCATAGCGTACTCCACAGCAAGAAAAGACTCAAAAAGTACTACAAAAATATATTTCTCCATTTCTTAGACATTATGTGTTTGAATACATTCATATTATATAAAAAAAATAATGGAATATTATCGCGTATCAACTTTTTGCTCAAATTTATTGAAGACACTTTTGCGACGTATCCAATTGAAAGAAATAAATCGATACAAACTCGGCCATTTAGACCTAATATAAGCCAATTAGGCGGGAATCATGTTCCGGATTATATACTCGGAACACCGGGGGGGGGGGGGGAACTACGCGAAGGTGTTCGCATTGCTACAAACGTAAGATCAGGAAGGAATCGAGTTACTGGTGTTCGATTTGCCAAGTCCCATTGTGTATAATACCCTGTTTCGCTGAATATCACGCCACAGCAGGAATTTAAATTCTTACTTTTATATGTATAATATTTAATTTAATTTATTGCGTTTTTAGTTTAATATGTATGCTTATAATATGTTTATGTTAACGAAATAAGTAAATATTAGTAATAAAATTTTCAATTTTATAAAATAAACCCATCTTTTTCATTAAATATCTTATCAGCGCAGCTTACTCTGTGATTGACGAATATACTCGTCATGGCTCGATTCTTACATACTCTCCCTCTTAAAGGGCGACTGGGGCTTTTAGGGGACCCAATCGTCAAATCCTGGGTGTGGAGAATCATCATCCAACACCCTTTTAGTTCGGGCGCTACTGTAGAGACATTAGGTTATTTCGAAGCAGAAGAAGTGAAAAATGAGCAGCGCCCTCGCCGGGAATCGAACCACGGACCTCTAGAATACGCGCCTAGCGTATTAAACTAGCCTCAAAAATGATTGTCAAAGCTTTGTGACTTCAGCCATTTTCACCAGGTAATACAAACGGCAAAAAAAGGATGGCTTAGGTTAGACAGAGACTTTAGCAACAGAGCGTCTTGGCATAAATGCTGTTTATTTATGTTGGTTAATTGATTTAAGCAAATCAGTCTAGGGCCATCCATTTAAAGGGTGTGATACATTTTCAAAAGAAACTTAATCTTATTTTCATTATTAAAAACACAGAAGTCCGTGCAAACATTCTCTTAGCCAGGATTTGAAGCCGTTAGAATTAACCAGTGTTCTGCGGTCTTATCCACTTGGCCATTGGTGGGCTCGGCGCTAGACCGGGCGCTGCTGTGAAAGCGTCTTGTTTGAAAGCCTATCTAATTTAAATTATTTCTCAAATTAGAACCTGGGTTTATAATAAACCATTCAACATTAAAAATTTTGGTCTTTAATCTTTTTGGAGTCCACCAACGGCCGAGAGGTAAAGTCGCTGAACTCTGTTAATTCCGATCTGGGTTCGATACCAGGCAAATAGGCTGGCTGCATGCGCGTATTCGTGGTTTTCTCCATGTGTAACTTGTTGTACGAGCCAGTTTTCTTTCGAAAATCCTCCACGAAGGCCGTTTATCCATTTAGGGTAGAAGCCCTCGCATGCTTTGCCATAAATCGATAAACCAAAGCAAACCGTTATGCAACATGCAGTTTCATTGCGATTGTTAAGTTACTCTTAGGGATCCATGTCTTTGAATTGCGATTAACTATGAATGCTTTAAATATGACGAAAAGAAATGAATTACGAGCATTGGAAAGAATTCCATTAGTGCTGTATTTATTCAGTTTTGGGATAAATGAATACCTAATAAGTCTCGTGATAACTACGCGTAATAATTTTGATGACGTTAAATGGTGCTATCTTTATTGTAAATTGTCTTACTTACTACTTTCATACAAAACTCCAAGAAAAGGAGGGATGATCAAATTTACAAATATGTTTGTAGAAATGATGTATTGTATCTGTGAAAGCACATTTCTCTCTTGCAGTCGGGCTTTTGTTTCCTTTTTAGCACAAGTAAATACATTCTTATGAAGCACTTTTTTTTTCTTGTTGAGCATTACAAAATATAACTGATTATATCATATCACATTTTACGTATTTCTTTTGACACCAATGTAATAATTCTGCGACTATTTTATAGAAAATATTTAACTTAACTCGCTCATATTTCAGACAAGAATCTTCAGTATATGATGGGAATTTCAGCGTTGCGTCTTCAGAAAGATAAGCAAATTTCACCTGTAATTTATCAGCCTCATCACAGGCATTAGCTGGTGCTGCTCAAAAAAAGCATTTCGGGAGTGAATTCGTGTATCTCAAAACATGGGAGCATTTTATTTCATTTTTCAGTCAGGTTCTTTAAAAGATGTTTATTTTTCAAATCACATTATCATAATGATTTCTTTCTACTGTGTTCATTGTTTATTCGTATAAGTTTGAGAAGTTAAGCAGTTGAAAGCTCCAGTCGTTTAACCAACGCTTTAGAAATGGTCGTCATTTTTCAAAATAATGTATATTAAATTGCGTATTAATATAGGAATTTAAAATACGGTGAAATCTCCCTAAAAGACGACAGTCCACGACCCGGCTTCGGACGATTTTGATCTTCTGGGAAGGTGATCATATTAGGTGATGCTGAATATCGATGTCTGTTTACATAATGTGCTAAGAAAAATACAAGTATTTTTCAGAGATGGCCCACCAGCGGCCGATCGGTAAAGTCGCTGAACACTGATAGTTCGTCCGAGGTTCGAATCCCGCGAACGGGCTGGCTGCATGGGCGTTCTCGTAGTTTTCCCCATGTGTAACGTGTGTACGAGCCATTTTCTCTTAGAAAGCCCTCCACGAAAGCATCCCTTCTCTTAGACAGATAGCACTCGAGGCTTTGCCATAATCACACACACTATTTTCAGAGATGGTCGCCATTAGAAAGTTCACTGTATATGGACTGGTTGATATGATTCAGTTTGAAATTAACTTGCAACTTGAAAATAAAGCTATAAGAATCGGTAAGGTTTATCTTAAAATATTTAAGAGTTCCGTGTGATAATACCAAATAGAAAGCAGATTTAGTATTAAAGAGAATTAGTCGAAAATCTGTGAGTTCCCCCATCCTTGCTAAAGTACGCGATATCGTTTATAAACATACTTGCACAATGTGTTACTAATACCTCAACCTCTAGTCTCCCCAAAATTAAAAAGATTGTCATACATATATCATATTGTAATGCAAAGCAAGGTATCTAAAATAATAAATTATCTTTCAAAATATTTATTATGCACATTTTTAACATGCGCCATCGCATGGGTATCTTTCAAAGATTTTATATGGCGCCGATGGCTTGCATGCTTCGGCTTTATGACTAAACGAGTCAGTAACGATGTTCTCAATGTAGCATGAAATTTCATGCGTATTACAGCTGTTAGAATTCTACATGCAAAATAACCTCTAAGGAGAAAAGGCATTCATTTCTGAAGCAACAAACTAAGAACCGTGAGAAGATTTTTACATGCTGCAACGGACTTTTTCCTTTAAAGGCTTATTTCAAATACTTTATCAATTATACAATATAAAAGACTTTCTGTATATAAAACCTCTCATAAGACTTTTATATCTGCAATTACATCCAACATTTTCAAGCAATGTGGAATGAGATCGACTGTTGTCTAGATGCTTAATTAATGCTTAATTAGTAAGCCCCAAATTATATGTATAATTTATTCAAGACAGCTTCAATGAAGTAAAAGCTGTGACAGTTTTTATTTATGAGGTAAACGCAAGGTTTTGTAATAAAATATTTTCAGAACTATAATGTCTTTATTTTGAGTACTTTTCATTCGGATGCCTATAGTATATGACACCATTATGTTCAGCTCATACAGTTTTTATCTGGAAGTATTTGTACCTGTCATATGAAATAATAGGAGAAAAACCTCTCATAATAAGAAAATTTAGAAATAATTTTTTAAATAAATACTTTGAATAAAGGAAATATGTTTATAATTTCGGTATAGGAAAGCTAGAGTATAAAATAACAATTATAAAGTATATAATTAAGAAAATATCAGTTGGCCAAATGATCAAATTATTTAAATATGTTTTTACTAGGTGTTACCGAAAATGCCGATATATTTTTTAATTATGAAATTTCGTTTTCATTAATGACATTCTTAATAAGGTAATGACAAACAATTTAATATTGACAATGATAAATTCTTTTACTTTCACATGCTTTCGTGGTCATTATGTTTAGAAATTTTAAACTCTGTTATCTTTAATTTGAATATCTATCTATTTATAAAATGCGTTTTTTGCCAAATTTAAAACTAAGCGCATAGAAAAATGTATAAAATTTTCTTGACTGAAGTATATCCTCTTTTTATGTTTTAATGTGCCCAGAAGGTCTTCAAAAAAAAAAAAAACTTCGTTGTTTCGATAAAAAAAACTGAACCATTATGTATGTATGCCTTCACTCCGCTTGACGATAAATGTGTTTTAACTTGCTGTAATGAGAAATTTTCTTTGCACGTTTGTGGAGAAATTTCTTGACTTTGACAGGGTTAAAGATCGACAAAGTGGTCCGTTGACCCTCGGACCTCCCCTTCCACATCTCTTAACTCTGTGGTTCTGTTCGTATCAATGATCTTTTGTTGGCTATATTGTTGAGTATATTTTTTTAACTTTTTGAAATTATATATACGTTCTCCTTTTTCATATTTTAATCTTATAAAATTTTTGATAATAAGGAAAAGTTATTTCATGCTTATCTTTATATTAGTAACCGCTAGAGGGAGAGAGAAAAAAATACGTTGTCGTAAAATTTGGATAGATTTATTTCATTTGAAATCCGTGTATGTGAAGATTTCAGTTTACGGGTATTAGCCACATAAGTTTATTTATTTATACGAAGTTTCAAAGAGAAAAAAAATAGGCTTAATCATAAAAGTATGGCTAGAAATTGCCGTTATCTGATGGTGTATCGGTAGTTTAGTGGCCTAAACGTCCAGACAGTTGTAGTTTGTGCCGAATTCATAAGGCAGAGAGTTAAAATCATTAGAAATGAATTTTTTGCGCTCAGCCTGCTACTTATAAAATGAAATTACAATCATTTATGAAATTTCCATTGCCTTTTTCGGCTAAAACTTCAAGGCAGCATAGAAATATGGCAGTAAGGTTTTAGTCATCAAAATAGCTACCACTACATTAACCTTTTCTTCAACATGATAAAAACCCTTATGTATTATCTTCTTAAAACGCCGCCCTAAGCGAAAAATATAGTTACCTCTCATATTACATATATATCATCACGGAACTTTGTCGGGCGTAATGTTTTTTTTTTTTGAGGCCCCAAAAAGTGGTAATCAGCTGGAAAGTGTTTTGGGAATAAGATGGATGCGGAGCAATTGCCATTCAAAAGCGATAATTGCTTCTTTGTCATTTTCGCTGCATGTGGTTTGGCATTGGCTTGCAAGTACCGCATTTTTTACCTGTTCATTAGTGTTGGCTGATGGGTGCATTCAAATCGCTGAGAGAAACCTCATCCGTAACAATTTGCTCATGAGGAAAAACATGTTTTGTGCGATACAATCCATTGTCACAATTATTATCCATAAGTTTTTTGGGTTATATTGGAGGTTTTGCAGGATGGGGAATGAGATGCGTTGGCAGCAGCCAGTGATTGAACCTCTTGTTAATTGTATACTGGACATATTGGTCTTACTACCCATCAGCATGACATCTAGGTTCTTTTTTTATGGCAGGAGGTGAGTGATAAACGAGTAGAGGAGTTCTAAAGTTTCTTATTTTCTAGCAGTTCTTGCGGTAGCCTGTTGCTTAAGATCCCCACCTTTTTCATCTGATGCGGATGCAAACGGAAAGTTTCAGCAATTACGCTGAATCATCCTGAAAATTCCATACATGTGAAGAAAGAATCTTCATCGATAGCGCTTTTATTAAATGAGCATGATTAATGGCAGATGGTCTTCCAAAGCGCATCATTCAGTAACTTTTTGTGTGGAACGTAATTTTTATTTGTTCAGTAAGATTTGTTGTTGCATTTTTTTCATATGCAGTGCTTGTTGACAGACAGACAACTAAGGCGCTGTTCTCTGCAATGAAAACTGAACAATAAAATTACCCAAGTATTAAGCCTTATCTGTGAGATGTCCATTCCATGCATATTTGTTTCTATGGTCGTGCCTTTCGGCTGTTGAAAAAAAATGATACTAAATAGCGGCAGAAAATTTTTTTGTTACCTGATATGTCAGCTGCAAGTTTAAAAAAAAGCTGGAGTTTTACTGCGAATGCGGTATTTATTTATAAAATTCTGATTTTGAATGAGAAAAATCGAATTTGGGAGCTTTCTGTTGTCAGAATTTATTATGTTTTGTCAAGTAACAGGGCTAGAGTCCATTTCATTGGTATTCTACATGCTTTTATTTACAATTTTATGCTTTTTAGTTTTGTTGAATAGTCATAAGACTTGCTATATATTTCATTTGCGTGAATAGAATCTTAAGATTTTATAAAAAATTGTTGAAGAAGCTCATAAAATCCATAATATTTGAATTAAAAAAATACGTGTTTATCTTATTATAATAAACAAAAGTTGAAGTCTTAAAAGAATTTACACTAAAGTATTAGCTGTATTTCTGAACCCATATAACCCTTTTACACTTTTGTATTTTGTTTACCATATATCCCTTTTGTTGTTCAGTCTGCATTCAAATGAAAAACTCAATATGTATCTATGTGCCAAACTGATAGCTCAGTTCTGCACTGGAAAATCATAACATTATATGCCTTAATGTTATTATATATTGCTTTAATGTTAGTATAAATGAGTTAACCAGAAAAGAATGGTTCTTTTGCTATCTTCTGGATTTTCGTTTGAACATTTCTTTTAACATTTAACGAAAATAGTTTCAGAATAGACCATTGAGTGAAATCTTAAAATGACAATATCTAAATAATCGGTATCCTCTCTTAGGTGACACAGCACATTCGCGTGTACCACCTGAAACAATCCCATGTTTTTTCTTATCAGGAAAATCGATGGAACTTAATTGTTTGAGAAGATTGAGAACTAGAACTTGTACTTTATTTGCATCCGTGGCGATAGCGTATTTTTGAAATTTTTTCATTTATGAGAGTGTGTCTTACTATAAATTCTGTACTTGAAAGATTTCAGAGTAATTGAATATTATGTTTAAATACAATAAAGGATATAGGTTTTATATTTTCTCCCAAATTAGGTTTTTAATCTGAATATCGGTGGACAGCTACATGCGTATGAAGTGGAGTACCATGTTCTTCTGGAAGAAATGATTCACTCTCCGTCCAAAAACTCTGCCGAGCTGGAAACTTTGGAAGCAGCCAACAAATGTCTTAAAGCACAAAATATGGAGTTCATGGAACAGTTACAGGTATTGTTATTTATTTTATCAAGGGTTAAGCCTAGTGACCTTTTACATGTTGTTTTGTTTTAGCTATCAAAATCAGCCTGCCAAATGCCACTCAAATTTTTATGTGCACAAACTATTGTCGTATATCAGAAATGGAAAATATCAGTATTGTAAAATAAGAAATGATAAGATTTAAGAAAATTAAAGTTAGTATTTTTCTAGAATGTTTCAATGTATATTCTTAAAATCTTCCACCGCCGCCCTAATCGGTATAGTGGTTAACGTTGCTGGCTGCAGTAGCGTTTGGCTCGGGCTCGAATCCCGGAGAAGGATAGTTATGAATGGATAATGTCTTTGGCATTGGGGATCTTAAAATACGTGGTTAAAATAATCCTAAAGTCCTTTTGACTGATTTGGTGGTAGATGAAGAGAGATGAGAGAGTACTGTCGCTTTTAAGGTGCCCAAGGACCATGCCCACCATAGACGCAATTCTGCGCTCCTCGCCACGATGAAATTCCTTGAACTTATTCTGATGTTATAATTCAGACAAGTGAAATACATCACAACGTATAATCTACTAATAAATATTTCTCTTCTACTAATATTTTTTTACCCTGGATAGTAAATCTAAACTCTAGAATATCACTAAGCAATTACTAAGTACGCTTGTTTTAAATTAGTGTTATATATTTATTTTTTAAGGTGGTGTCTGCTTCAAAATGTTTAAAAGAATTTAGAAGTACTTCAGTGCTTAGGTAAATAATAACAAACTTTGTTTTTCACTGGAACACGTTATTTTAAAATTCATTTCCGCACTAGTCTAATAGTCTGAAAAAATAATTATTTAGTAGTTATTCAAATAAATGAGGTAATAATTAATTTAGTTTGGTAGAAATGTAATTAATTTAGTTAATATTTTTATGAATATTCCCATTTAGGAACTTTGGCAACTAAAGGTGAAACTAGCCAAACATAGCCTGTTCGTATCCTAAATGGTTGTAACGAGAAACTTAAAACGAGATCCGAGCTAAGAACATGTGTTTGAATGTGTCATTTAAATAATAAAGTGAATACAATTGAAATATTGTGCATCATTATAGTAATAATGCAATTTACGCTTCTGAGATTACTGATATAAAATGAAGCTGCGTATACTAAAGCAGAAATATAATGGAGAGCACAAGTGAATAGTATTTCAAAAACCGCGCATCCTAAAAGATGTTATGGGCAATGCGGTGGTAGAGATGAAGGGAAACTGGATAAAATTATTTAATTTTCTAAGCATACGTATGTCTAGAATCATTACATACTAATGTAATATACTGCTAACCTTTGCAGAGAAGCATAAGTTTACTCGGTTTGGCCTGGACTCGCATAAAGGTCGAATATTAACCTGTGGAATTTATTGCCTGATATTCTATAACTGCTCAGCAAGTTTGCACACTTTGCGCAACGCGACTGCATTTTATATATATTCCTGTGCGATTGAAGAAATGTGTGTAGATCTGGCATGTTAAGGAAGAATTGTGATACTACGAAAATTTCTCTGAAAGCGTCCGTCATGTGTGCTCGGGGATTGGTCGTAAGATGTTATTGACTTTTCCTCTGACTAATAAAGAACAACGAAGGATTACAAATATTGACCGGATGTTACAGACAGTGCCTCCTGGATGGGTAACTCTGGTAAGATGTGATGAACGTACGCCGCGCCGTTTCACAGTGACAGGGGAACCACACTTCCACTTGTACACATACGAATTATCCGGTCATCCCAGCAGAAAATTTTAAGTCTTCAGTGAACACAATTCGCCTCCAGATTCATAAATTCCAAGTTTCGCATTTGCGGCACCGGATTAAGCACTTCTGCAAATGCTCAGGACTTAGGAAGAGGCATCACGACTGATGTTGTCTGTAGAATCCATCCTCTATAAGCCTTCTTGAAATACTATGCTTTGTGATCTGCATGTCCTGGAGATGTAGGTAAGTGATTTTGTATGGCACGTCTCAAAGCTGTGGGTGTAGTTAAAGGTAGCTTTCGATGTTCCACGTTTCTTCAGGGAAGTTACCATGCTACGCCTGCTTCTACTCTTCTGACGATTATGTATGCTCTGTTAGAACCGCTTTAATAGCATCGCTATGTGTGACATTGATCGGAACGTTATCTGGGCGATTTGGTAGTACGATCAACGGATTTCCATAAAGGCAGGGATATGATGCTTGTCAAAGTGATACATTTGGTTGTATCGTCGTCGGATAGATCTTTGGTGAATTCTTGTTCGCTAACGCAAATAACATTACCACGTAAGCAGTTTAAATCGGCACAACGATTGAGCAATATAGCTTGAAAATAACAGGTCGTAAGATGTCATCGACTTGCTCCCTAATTGTTAAAGGACAACGAAGAATCACGAAAAGTTATCGGGTAATCACAGGCAGTGGCTCCTCTGTGGTAACGCTGGTAAGGTGTGGTGGACGTATGCCATTCCTCAATAGCACGATATAAACAACACTGCCATTCGTATGTGAACGTAATGCCCGAATGTTTACACTATCATGGTATCCGCCAATAACATAGCAGCAAAAAATCGCGCAAGAAATCATTGGAGGGGGGGATGGTAAAATAACGCAAGGAGAAAACGTCATGGTGCGGGAAAAAGGGAGGAGAAACCTCTGCAGTTCTAAAACATCGCGGTACAAAACACCGTCGTAGAAAATAAAGTGGTGACAAAATTTCGCAATTTCAAAACATCGTAGTAGAAAATAAACCAGCTACAAAACATCGGATGAAAAAAATAGCAAAAATATGCGTTTTATGCCTCTAACATGTTCAGAACTCTGTGAAACATATTTCTTACTACTGCATTGTAACGAGCCCTTTCTACTGAAGTCGCCTGTTACTATAAGTGGTCTTCACTGTATATTATTATTTACTTTTGTTGCGCTTTTGAGCTAAAAGGAATAGTGAAACAGGTTTGATAACTTTGAAGCTCTGTTTAAAACCTCTTTTAAAATAATGAAATGTCAAAAGGTTTCCATTCATCAATAATTTTTGGATAATTAGCAGAATAATATGTTCGTTTTTGATTATTCAAAAATTTATCATAGAATTCCTTAAAAATATAAAAAAAACTAAACTATTGATAAAAATAAACATGAGATGCATTTTCTTTAAGCGAAGCGATAGCTTTGCAAGCACCGGACCGAATTTCAAAATTTATTTAGTTCTTGTTCACATCGAAGTATACTTTTGTTGCCTGGCCAAGCCCTTTCTTGCATCGCTGATTTTTTTGGGGTAGGTGTCTTTTTTTTTTTTTTTTTTTTCTTAAACATTCTCTATTGATCTTAACCAGTGCGAAAATCCGAGCGAATATTTTACCCTTTCAAAACCTAAGGGAAAATATATTCCACGTAGGAATAATACGAAATACATGTTAAGTGATATCTCTGCAGCCGCGGGACCGAATTTTATATTTACTATTATTTTTTAAATTTTGATAAAAGCGTAACTCTGAAGATTTTTTTAAAAATTCTTAAAACAATAAAGTGTCAAAAAGTTTCGTAGGAAATCAATTATTTTTTTGATAACTAATAGAAAAATAAGTTCCTCTGTAATTTTTCAGAAACCTATTATTGAAATGCTTAAAAATATGAAAACTGAGTTAAAACTATTCATATACAATACAAATAAGCAGGTAGCTCAAAAGATTAGGATGAGTAATTTCGACATTAAACAATGTATGAAACTCGTAGCAACCACCTCTCCAAAACCACCAACTCTGAAGATAAAAAATAAGCATTTCTGAAAGAAAAACCGACATCTTTATTAATCATTACCTACATTACCACTTTTAAATGACTGCTTCGCAGAAGACCTATATCATCTGAAACTTTGAGTGTCGTCTTAGAGAGATTTTGCTGTACGCAATAGTACTGCATTCGCAAAAAATGTTTTATAGAATTCTGTGCATGTTACAGACATAAAATGCGTATTTCTGCCATGCTTTTTCATTCAATGTTTTTTTATCTGCTTTGTTTTTGCCACATTTTGAAATTTCGATATTTTGTCACTTTTTAAAGTTTTCTTCTTGCTTGCCCCCCTCCCGTATCACGTTGTTTTTTCAATTCGTTATTTTCTCCGGGACGTTTTCCTGTGATATTTTCACATGTAATCTGTTACACCTCTTGCATATGAATTAAGTCTTATGCAGTTTTTAAGTACTTAATTCTGTAATTTAATCGACCTATAAAAAATCGCTTTACTCTGTATATGCTGCCGTGCTGTATGTAGGTAGCGTATCCAAGTAAGCGACTAGAAGATCCTTGGTTGGAAACCCGGCAAGCTGAATATTCCTGTTTTCTAGCTTTGAAAAACGTAATGTAGATCATAATGGATTTGAAATGAAGAAATTTTTATACGGTTGACCGGAGAGTTAAGTAATCATGCATGTAGTGGGAAATACAAGAATACACACAAAACGTAAAAAACGCAAATTGCTACGTTAAGTGTATTTAAAAACAAATAATGATATCCATCGAGGTAGTTTTTTCACGCCGAAGCGTGATTATATTTTCCGACTCAGCACTTTGTGCCTCAGAAAAATAGTTTAGTATTGCGTTTTAAAGCATTATTTAATTTATGTACTTAAATTTGATTTTATGCCAACAGACACGCTTAACAGTCACCAAACTGACCTCTGCGGCAACGTTTTTATGTCCATGAAAAATGTTTAGAACCGCTTTAGTGACGTTTCTAGTTATGATTACTTAAGAGTTCGTTCAACTCGCTGATTTAAGTCTTTTTTTTTCTTTTTTTTTAAACCTCCTGCTAAGAACTGAATTCCGTGTCACTGCAGAACAGACCTAAGCAGAATAGTTTCCAGAACTCCGCACATTTACCTTAGGCACATTTTTTAAACTTTTTGAATGGGCTCAGGAAGCTAAAAAATATGTTGTATGGACACTTAAGCTGCAGTTTCTTAATGGTATAATTTTGAACTGCTAATGTTGTACGAGATTACTCCTCCTCTAGTTAGGAAAGAGACCCATTCATTAAGTGAGAGGCGCCATAACTGTATCAGTGATTAAAGAGGAGGTGGACACCAAGAAACCAAGGATAATTATGAGCTTTCTGCCTTTTCTTGAAATTATTGGCAAGGTATTAGGCGTGCCTTTCCTTGTTTATGTCAAGGCAAGATGACCCTTTAGAATAATTTTTTTTTAAATTGGAGTTAGCAAAAGAGTTATATATTGCATAACTTAGAAGATTAGCTAGCAGAAATTTCAAAATAATGGGGAACGTGTGGTGCAGCTGTAATTTGTTTCTTTCTAAATCGCTGTATGAATGTTTTCAGGCTATTGGGTGTTATCCATGTTATTGAATAAAAGTATGCATGACATTTTTGGAATTTACTCGAGTTGAAATAGGAACCCCTGCTGATACCCTGCCAATAAACTAGCTCTAAGATGCCGCTAATGCTTACCAAGATCATAAAGTATGCTGCAGTCCCTGGATTTTGAATTCTGAAAGACTGTGTGTTTTTGTGCAACATTATCTTGAAAATAACCTTGCTTAAATGTTCTAAAATCATACATTGATGGAGACAGAAAGTGTTAGCTAAAATCAGCAAATCATCATCTTTGCCTAAGTTTCTTATTACGGCAAAACGAAGGCTATCTAATAAAGGGGAAAAGATTTTATTTGAAACTGTCTAAAAGGAACTTGTTCTGGTCACATTTAAATGTGAAGATTGCTTTTTTGCAGTATTCAGCTCCTTTAACTAACATGGGACGGTCACATGTGTCCAGTAAGTCGTATCCACTGGGCCACTTTTGGGTTTGAGGCGATGGGGGAAAAAGCTAAAATGCATATTGATTAAATGAAATACTTATGGCTGCAGTACAAATTTTTACTTCTTTATGAGATCTAAAGGCTTTCAAGTACCTCTTTAAGATGTATCGTACTTTTCAAAACGGAAACTTCTTTTGTATGCATGTAAGGAATTAAGGCATTCTTATTATTTGCCAGCTGTGTCTTCCAAACTTAATGGGGGTAGATGATAAACCTGTCACTACATGCAAGATGCCGGTTTCTCTCGCTTTACGAAAGTAGAGCGTTGTGTGAAACTTTTATAGACTAAAATGATGTGAATGTTAAAAAGTTAACTAGTTCCCTTTCCGACTCAAAGTAGTGTTGTAGATCTGAGTAAGTTTTTGTTGTTGTAATCACGTCTTGACTTACTTGACGTCAGCCTACTGGCAAGTAGTAGTTGTTGCTGTCTGTCGACAAAAGTTGTATAGTCTATTTTTTTTGGGGGGGGGCGTGCTTCCTTCCATCCCCACCCACAAGTCGTAGCTAATAAAGTTTTCTGTTTGTTTTAACTTCAGTCTTGTGTCTTTTAAGAGAGTAACAGAGGCGATAACTTGTCAACCATTACATATAACTTCTATCATCAGCATTAGGTTTGAGGACAAACAAATCGAAGTTAATTTATTACCTTGAAAGTTATAAACTTGAGTATTCGTAAATCCGGTATTAGGAGATGCAAGAAGCCAAAGTGTAGGAGAGAGTATCATCGTTCGCATCGATCAAGTCATGACAAACGTCAACTTAACTTGCCCCAGTGCTGATAGCTGAAGTTTGTTGCTCGTTGTGATTGAAGAGAAAGATTTGAAATACAGTTGGCTGATTGACTGACTCTTGATGTTAGGTTAGATTATTTGAATGCGGCAAAGCGCACGAGTTGCATCAGCTTGGGGGCAGAAGATGCATTCGTGGAGGATTTTCTGAAAGAAACTGGTTGGTATTCACCTCCCCGTTGCGCATGGAGAAAGCTTCAAAAATTAACCGTGCGGCCAGCCCATTCGCCTGGGCTCGAACCCGGTGCAAATCCCATCATTCAGAGGTGTTAACCACTCGGCCACTGACTGATTCTTCAGGTGACACAGCTTTTTTAAAGTGCAGTTTTTATTTTTAGGCATTCAAAAAATTCCGCAAAAATGCGTACTTTTTGCAGTTAAAGATTAGGCTGGTCGTTTTCCTCAACCACTGCGGGAGACAAACGCTGAACTTTTTTTTTTTTTTTTTTTTTTTGTAGAAGTGAACTTTGTTCGCAAATCTTTCTTCGGAAAAGATAGTAATTTAATATTTTCACCGTACTGTTTTTGCACTTTCTTAAAGTGGCACTTTATTATTTATTTATTATTTTATTTTATTTGTTTATCTTTTTATTTTCGGTGTACTTTCAATGTGGCATTTAAATTTAATTACTTTCATTAATCTGGTGTGCCTGTATTCAGATTTATTATAGGTAAAGTATTTTGATAAATTTTTTGCTTTTAAAAAATAGATTTTTAAGCGTTATTCTAGTTAAAACTGTTCACTGTAAAGTACGTTGTTGCATCGGAGTAAAGAAAGAAACAAACAAATGTAACCATTATTACTTGCTACATAAAACTCGCACGGAAATCATGATTAGGTTAAAAGCTAAAGAAGGTAGCACAATTGCCTAAAGCTGGCTTCTAATTTAATTAATTTTTTTACCGTATTGAGGTTGTTTTAATTCTTACATTATTCTAACTTTGACGCTAGTATAGAAATGATCGCGATCTGTTATTTTGATTGATTTTCAGCGTCTGAAAGAAATGCCGAATAAAATATTTTATTAATAGCAGCTTGTGTAAAGCCACTGCGTATATTATCGGAACAAAAAAGCATGTAAAATCAACGATGCTCTCCTCGTAGGGACTCGAACTCCATACCTCCCGACTGCTAGCCGGACATGCTTTCAAATTACATCGCGAAAGCATGCGGTGAGAAAGCAGAAAATATGTTATATTGTTTCCCACTTGAAACGCTAGAGGAGAAAGGATCACCGTCGTCAAACTCAGGTGGTGACGAATTATTGTACACCACATTTTAGTATTACACCACTTGTAAGGATTCTTTGGACTGATTGTTTGGACTAGCAAGCGTGGGAAATCATTTCTGCGCTTTAGCCTGAAGTGGAACTCTGGACCTTCGGATCATCAGCCGGACGTGCTTTCAGTTTCAACACTAAGACACGTGTTGAGGAAGGAGAATATTCCTTAAAACGAAACGAAAGGCGACTATGTTCCTTTTAGAAGCCGTTGTTTATAATAATCCTAATTTACTCTCGAAAAATACGTGGTTTTTAAATCTGATGATGCGTTTAATCTATGAGACATTTTCTAAATACTTACCGAATTTTCGCTAACATTGCACGCAGTCGGTAACAGTGGTACTTAATTTGGCCAGTCTGATGTATAAATTAACTTTTATACTCTTTAGGTTGCTTACTCAAGGATACACAATCTTGAAGCATCTGAGGCCAGCTTGAAGAGCACAGTTCGCCGGTTGAAGGGTCGTATTGCTACCTTAGAAGATGAAAAAGAGGCTCTTACTCATAGCCTTCGTATAATGAAAAAGCGATTAGAAAAGCTAGAAAAGCTGGAAGTTGCTAGAATAGAAGATTCTTCTTCTTTAGCCGAAACAGAAGAGGAAGAAGAGCATCCGCCACCTTTCGGAGTTGTATATGCCTTAGCGGGATCCGAGAAAGAAGAGGACCAGCAGTTTAAAGAATTAATGCGAAAATATAGTCATGGAAAGGAGCCGGAAAAATGTAAGATTGGTTTTCTTTTTATAGTTGATTCAGAATTCCAACATTTAATCAAATTTAATGAAAAGGTGAAATTTACGTATGCCGTTTGGTTTCATCAATAAATTTATTAAAAAGATTAAGCGTTTGCATCAATAATCAATAAATTTATTAAAACTGTTAATTAGTTTATTTTTTAATTGTACCAAAGATATCGAGGTCCTTGAATATTTGAAATCTAAATATAAGATTTTGAACTGAAAAGTATGTTTCAATTTTTCTAGATAAATTGATTTTAAAGGACAAATAAAATTCGTCTTTCTAAAATACGATAGTTAGATACTGAAAATGATATAGTTGCCTTACATGAGTCTCTCGTTTGAATGTATTTATATATCAAGTTAATTATTGTTAGTTGCTGTGTTCCTTAGTTTTCATATTAGATATTCAGTCTTCCACCCGTTTCTTTATTTTTAATTTTATAAGCAATTGTAGATCATATCTCTAATGTTATAGATATCATAACGTTGACACTCTTGCCTCATTTGTAGCCTTCGTTACCACCAGTCACATATGTCTAATGAGATTAATTTGTAGAGTTTTACTTTCTTTGCAGTCATACAAAGTGTTTAACTCTATGTAGACATTAAGCGACTGATCGCTAAGTATGGGAAAAAAAAAACTTGAGAAGGGTGTATTAGACCCTTTATTTAAAACTAAATAAGATGGACAGAAGGCACTCTTGGTGATTACAAATCCGCCAGCACTATGTTGAGAAACTCAAAAGTCGTAAGTCAAATGTAACGCTAGTGAATTCAGCTATTCAACTATCGGCAATTACAAAGCAAGGCCGAAGATAGGAATTCTTACATAAGTAGCAAATCCAGCAACATGGCCTTCAAGAGCGAGAACACGTTGTAATTTAACAATCTCAAAATTTTCCTTTAAACACACTCGAACTCATTTGCATTCTGCTGGGAAAACGGAAAAAGAGAAATGACAGTACAAATTCAAAACATAAAATAATTGGTTATTCAAATTAAAGGGAACCGGCCAAATTGCTTTAAATTATTTCAATTGCACTTATTGTGATAGAGGAATGTTTACAATTTTTTATTTAATATTAAACTTATTAAAATGTTGATCAAAAAAGGGGGAGAAAAGAATAAAAGTTCTTTTTTCGTTACGCGCATTTAAAATACTTATATCTGAAAATTCTGCCCTTTTCTTAATGAAATTTGATCTCTTGTGCAAAAAATGAACTTTCAGTCTTTGTTGAAGCCGGGATATCAGCATATGTGCTGATGCAATTTTATCTCTGTGGCAGTTACGCCTTTATAGAGTTACTCAAAAGCCCATTAGCAATTTAATCAGAGTCGAAAGTGCTTTTTTAATATTGACCATTATTTTTCATACATTTTCTGCCATTGTCTGGCAGCGATATTGTTGTAAATTAATTTATTTCAATCTAATATTTTTTTAAAGAAACAAATATAAAAAAATTTACGCTTTAATTTTTAAATTTAAAATTAAAAAGATCATCCGTATTTGTCTGTTTTTTATGTTGAACATAATTTTAGTTTTTCTTGTAGTCAACCATATTACCTGCGGTTTTACAGAATAGAAAGTTATAAAAAATTATACTTCAATTATTTCAGTTGATTCTTTTGTTTTTTATTAATTATTTTATGTGGCAATGAATATTTCTTTCGGATAACGCTGGGCTGCAGCTTAGTATTTTTCACACTTTTTTTTTCACTGCTACAATATTACATTATGTAACGTGGCGCTACTGGGACATTTATCATCCATATGGGCCTGCTGGGGCCATTTCTCAAAGGTTTTACCATTCAACGCTGCGTAAGATGTTTAATTTATGTTTCAGTTTAAAATTATATTGCTTAATTGAACAATTCAAATATAATATACATACTTCTACTTAATTTATATCTTTATGCTATGTTTAGTAATATCTTCACTTGATACAATCAATAGTACAGGGTGTTTATAAATGAATGGGGCGGTTTTAAAAATTAATAGTGAATAATTCTTTACGTTATATCGGCAACCTTAGAGCATAAACAGCTGCAACTGTCTAAGGTTTTGATGAATTAATCACAACCCTTCAATATGTGCCCCCTTGGTCACACGACGCACATTTACACACTAATTAAGTTCTTCCAATACTCGGTGTAGCATGTCCACCGTGATGGTCTGCAGTGCGTGCTGTTTCCGAACCACAAACTTCCTGAAGGGACACAGATAATAGTGGTACAGAAACTCGGTCTTTACCAAAAATCCAAAGAAAGAAATCACATTCCCTACTTGCTTTACTAAGTGACGTGCCAGGACTTTGCTGAAAATCCTCGTATACTCTTACAGCGTTTGCATCAGATGCACGAGATCGACCAGAACTCTTGCCTTTATAAAGGCATCCAATTTTTACGAACTGTGGGTATTACCTACTTATGTTATTCTTGTGTGGTAGGTCTTTCCTAAACGGTGCGCGAAACTCACGCTGTACTGTAACCACACATCTAGACCCCTCAAAACAGTGCACACAGAAAGTCTTTTCCTGTTAAGAAGCCATCTTGGAAACTGACGCTTCGGCTGCGCAGTAAGCATGACAAGTAAACAGCGTATGGAAACTTGGACAGTTGCCAAGTGGTGTAGGTTTTACCACGGACAAGGTGATGCATACATTTAGTATTAATTTTTAAAACTGCACCATTCATTTATGAACATATCTATTCCACGTGGTTTCCTGTGATAACTTTTGTAAATATTTGCTTCATAATAAAAAATGTTTCTAATGCCATGCTTTAAGTACTTGGGTACAGGATAATCATTTGCCTGCCACGTATTATTTATTTTTACATAATATAGCTCTGTGACTTTTATATTCGTACATTCAACTGTAATGTAACACCAACTGTTTTCTATGAAGGGTATCCATATTATCCAAGCTATTTCACATTTGGAGCGATGTAGCTCGAAAACCTAAGAGCAGCTACAACAAGTAATATTATCGATTCCAAGATCAAATCAGTTGTTTGGTAAGTTCTTGTTCGGATAAAGAGCTGCCTGTAATTTTCGCCTTGTTTGATATAATGTAACTGAGAGTAATAAATAATCTCCTAATCAGTCTGTATTTAGAGAAAAAAAAGTATTAAAAGGATCAATATCCTAAAATTTGTGTCCTATAAAATCGTTCAAGAAACGTAGTTGTTGAAGCCTGCCAAAACTATAGCCTTCGAAAGACTCTTTTAATCCCTGTTTGAAATATAAACAAAAATCATTATATTGATACGTAATAGAAATCGTATGTATATAAGTTCTCCTTAATACGCATTGCATCTTTAGAGTAGCAAATCAATTATTGGTTTGCATGTCAAGATCAGTGTTTTCCAGTTGTGTATCATTCAATTTCTTTTTAAACGAAAACATAAAAATTTAGGTTCGAAAATTGAACTCTTCTGAGCAATGCAGAATCGTAATAAAACACTTTTTCATAATTTCTAAGTTCTTTGTGAAATTTGTATTTTCGGAGTTTTAGTGCAACTCGGTCTCGAAGTTCAATTGGTGTAATATTCAGCATCATCCTCAGATTTATCTCTCCGCTTTTGCAGTATCGAGATACTCTTAGTAGAACCAGGCGCAAGCTCATGTATTTATTTCTTCAAACGGAGTAATCGGTTAAACAGCTAAGCGACAACATTATACTGAAAGTAGAGTACTAAGCCAGCCCGTCCTCGTAAAATATAACCTGGTTCAAAAGGTAAACGACAGTATTTCGCTCAAATTGGTGTGCTGAATATCCACCTCCTCGTAAAATACAGCTGGCTGATACGGTACTTACTCACATTTAGCAATCGCTTCAGCTGCAAAGCAGTATTTCACTGAAAATGGGATGTTGACCACACACCAATATGGCCATCCATTTGCCTTCTTACAAAGAGTTTCAGTTTCTAGAGTTACTTGAAAAGTGTGGTTTATCATAGCAATGGACGCAATTTTAACAGTTTTGAAAGAACACCTATCATTACGCTGCAGGGGAGGCATCGTTTATGCTAAAGCTATCGTCTTGAAATGCCCCCGGTAGGGTGCATCCTTGGTGGAGCACAACGTGACGTTTTTTTCACTAGCAAAAACCTGACATACGATAGTTAAGGATTACAGAATCGCGATTGGGTTACAAAATGTGCCGAAATAATGACTCGTATAAGGAGTGAGTAGGATTGATAATTTCCTCTTCTTGGATGTATATAGGTGTTAATGCTGATCTTGAACATTAGAGGTGTGGGGGAATAATTAAAGATGCTAAAGGAAATGATCTCTTTTCCCTAAAAACAGAGTAGATTTGGTCGTGTATTAAAGCGATGTAGTACAAAAGTGTGTACTATGGTAAGGATGTTGGCAGTAAGTTGAATGAGGGCAGACTTTGAATTTGCTCATTTTGAGTCACTTCAGGTTGCTTGCCAGACACTTTTCAAGATTTCTATTGTGATTTTTTTGTGATGGCTTCTTGGGCCAAGAAAGATATACGCTGTCAAATATTTGATTCTTGGCTACGTTTTTAGCCAGACAGTAGACTATGTAAAAATGACTTGACCTGTGTTACATTCTACCGTTAAGCACACTGTCATGAAATCTGACCTCCACCAATGAAATGACGGCTGACGATCATATTAAATACGGGAAAATACTTTGCTAGACATCAGCAGAATGAATTAAGAGCATATTAAAGCAGAATGCAAATTTAATCGTATTTTATGGGGCCCATAATATATATATATGCATAATGAATAACATTCGGTTTTGTCCTTAAAATAAAAAAATAAAAATCATATTTTTATTTCTTGAAGTGGTTTAAAAGTTTTAATTAAAAATGTTTTTTTTTTGCTAATCATTGATTTTTTTTACTAATTATCAGTATAGCTTCAGAAATATCTTTTATTAATTAGAGTAATGCTGCAGACGGTCATTAAAGTGAATGAGTTGCATAGATTATAAATTAAATGTATAGTATACTGCAGTTTCACAGTTTGATGGGTTATTAAAAAGTAAAGTAAAAGAAAAAAAGTCCAAACAGTTTTGTATCAGCTACGTAATATATGGTGTTAGAAACAGCTTTTATTAATTATAATAACATTGTAAAATATTTATAAAAATTATGAATTTGATTTATTGAAAACTAAATGTATTTTAATTTATATAAAATTATGATATTAATGATTAAGAAAGGCATTTATTGCTTTTGTATCGCGCAGTTGTTACGCAATAATATCGCGCTCGAATTAAAAAAAGGTAAGTTCAAGATCTTGTACTTCGTCGAATGGCAGCACGTAAAGCTGGCTGTGTATGAAGCTGCATAAAAGGTAAGTTTTACATTTTTCTCAGTGGTTACATTTACTAAGGTGCGTGGATGATAAATGCATGGTAGCGTAATGTGAAATAACACAATGGTTTGAAAAAAAAAATTAAATTGGAAAACTGTTAAAGACGATTCTAGTGCAGTAATATCAAGAGTTCTAGTGCAGTAATATAGTGCTTCTAGTGCAGTAATATGGTGCAGTTGCGTTATCTGTAGAGTTCAGTAATTAATATTTTGAATAAAAATGCTTTAAAATTTTTAAGCAGCACAATATATGTTGTATTTTTCTTTTAGGGAATGAGGTATTTAAAGATACGACTGAAAATAAGACCAGTTCAGCAGAAGATCTTACTGATAACTCTACTGATCTGACTGATAGCAAAATTACTAGGACTGAGGAATCTCTCATTTGAAAAATAAATAAATAAATAAATAAAAATAAAAAAATCAAGTGCACGGAAATATCCTCAGACATGAGCTTACACTATATGTTCTAAGAGAAGTATATTTGCCTGCCATTCTGTAATATTGAGGGTTAAAGATTTTAACATGAAAAATTAATTTAACTGTGAAGTACCAAAAAGTGCTGTTTAAATTGAACGGTGCATGTTATAAGCTGTTACTTTAAAATGTTAGAACTGTTATTCAATTTGATTTTGAAATTTATTCTCCGCTAATCGTTTTTTATAGATTAATGTTACATAAACTCAACTCAGAGGAGAGTTTTATTTTTAATTCAAATGACATTCATTGTACAACAAACTTACATCAGTATGAGTTTTAATAAATTCTTAATTTAAATATCATACCTATTAAAAATAATTGGAAACTTTCTGCAGTTTCATGATTTTTATTACGGTAATAAATGACTCAAGTTTGTATGAAGAAATACTCCTTGTTATTTAAGTTCCTGATTATTTTCTTTTTAATCGTAAGATAATGTTGTATTTAGATATTTAATACTAGATGTTTTGTTGTACAAAAAGTTCATTCTGAGCGACTATTTCAGTTCATATCCTTTGGAAGTTTTGTGCGGCTCATGTTCTTCCTAAATTGTAATACTCTTATAACTGGGCAACAATTGATATAACTTTGTATCTTGAAATAAAAAATACTCTTGACATATCCACTTGTAAGTGAATTTAATGTTAATTTATTATTCTTGAAATATTCATTCATTTAATTTCCTGATTAATTTTTGCTCCAGCTATATGAAATTTTATTGTATTGAAATACTCCGTATTAAACAGAAATTTTGTTACATAAAACGTTGTTTCTGAGTGACTGTTATTAGCGTAGTATGTAATTCATATTTTTAAATTCTGGGTTTTAGGTTACTATATTTCTGTAAATTAATATTTTTAATTAATCAGACTTTTATGTATTATTTTATAAGTAGAGAGTAAGTAATTTGTGGATAGCTTTACGAGGAGGAAAAACACCTTCTAAATATTAATTTTGAAAACTTTAAATATTGTGTTTAATTTCTTTGTTATAAGTGAAGTGCTAAAGGTAGTTTTTATGCTTATTTTATCAGTATCACGTAATTTCCTGCTCAGCGATGCTGAAATATATAACATTTTAAACGCATATGCAAATATCTTGATATATAGTTACATGCCATCAGTTTTTACAGCATTATATATAAACTCTAAATAAATTGCGGAATGTGTGCTTTAAAAAAAATCGGTTCTTCTCTCTTCTCATAGAGTTTTTATTTTAAATAAGTTAAAACTCTTTAAGGGAAAAGTTTATAAATGCCTTTCAGTGAAATTTCTATACGAGCAAATTGCACGAATTACAAAACTCATATTTATGGAAACAATAGTGTATTATATAAGGAAAAAGGATTGAAATGGCAAATATGTGCATCAGAAGGAATGTAATAAATCCAGTACTTTATGTGCTCACATTTGCTGGCTGTAATTGTACAGGAAAATCAGTCCTTCCCTCTCGTTACAGAATTTTAATTTTTAAATCAGTTAAAACTCTTTAAAAGGCAAGTTCCTAACTGCCGTTTAGTGAAATTTTCACACCAACAATTGCACGATTTACGAAACGCATGTTTATGGAAGCGATAATTATGTTATGTAAGGCAGAAAGGATTGAAAAGTAATTCTGTAAATAATGTATGGAATATAATAAATTCAGTTCTTTCTATACTCACCTTTGATGACTCTAATAATATGTACATGACGTCGGTGCCGGCGCTAGCCTTTTTGGCACTCTATGGAATGTCATTCCAATGTAGGCTTAATACGAATTCACAGCGCGTGAGATGTAACTACGGATAGTGACTTATGGACCAACCTTCTAGCAATCATATCCCGCACATATTCTGAAGGCTGACAAATCGAGAGACCGCACAAGCCAAGAAAGAGGTGGTGCAATGCAGGTCACAGAGGTAACAATGGATACGACGTGCAACATGGAAGGTAGTAGTATGTTGTTGAAAGTAGATCCAGAAAGGTTGCATAGCAGCGATGACTTCTGGCTCCAAAAACTTGTAATCATTTGTATTTCAAGTGATAAGCAACAGCTCTGTCGAATTTTTAATCGATATTATAATTCTGTTTTGGTGTTGCAATTCCAGTGAAGAGAAAGAGCATGTTTATTCCCGCATTTTTCCTGTTAGCAATTTAGCGTTAGGTTTCGAAAATTTTTTTGAATTATCCACATAATTTTTCCCTTCTTCAAGGTGTTCAGAAAACAAACTTTCCTATGTTTTAAAATGGATTTGTCCGGAAAGTGACTATTATCGTCTTACTGACTGATTTACTCAATGACTTTGAATGTATGGGCAATTATAGGCCCTTACACCGAAAATCCATGAGTATTGATGAAGCATTTATTGGGAGGGATGGTGATATCTAATGATCATGATGGTTTTGGAGATGATTGCATGTGGGAGGACAGCTGAACGGTGACAAAGACGATGACAACGGTAACGATGGCGACGACCTGCAAACTGTAAAAGACGACACAAACAGCAATATTAGCGGCATTGAATGATTTGAAATACTACGGCGTAGCAGTGGACAGCAATAAAAGCGGATGCTTTTCAAGATACGTGAAGTAAAAATGAAGCTGTCTTAATAGGTATAATGTTAATATTATTGCGTAATATTATTGTAATGTATGTATTTTTAAATAAATAATATTGTAATAGTCCTAAATACTTAAATTTTTTATGCTATAACCAGCTCCTTTGGAAATTTAATTATTCATATTTTTTCACGATAAAATTAGTAAAAGGGGGAACAGGAATAAATATGGTGTACTTCATCTAAAACAGGTTTATTTCTTAAACGTTATATCCGTTACTAATAAAGTATAAAAACATAAGAGCACATGTTATTTTCAATCATTGCGTTGTTAGCGGAGCTGTTGGTTTCCACTATTGCTATACCGGTTCGTAGTGAACCATGTGGAAACTTTATAAATTTGTATATTTGCCTGTTTTTGTGGTAAACTAGTTCGGTTTCTTCAATAGTTGCAGACATACGTGGTAATTCGTTTCGTTTGATGAACAGAGGCATTTTCTTCATCCTGCAGATAGATGTCTCAGCATTCGTTGCTTGAGACTGGACTTCACAAATGATGAAACGAATGTTATGAGTTTCGGTTATTTGTGACTCAACGTTAAAGAAAAGAGACAGTTTTGTTATACTGATAGTAGAGATTACTTCTATGGATGTACTTCGGCAACTTTTCGTGTGTTTTTCAGACCCCACTGGTATTGCTTGATGAATGCGGATGCTTCTATGCATATTAAAGACATTATTACGTGGACATGAACTAAAATAGGTAATTTTGAGATTCCGTATATTTCTCGATTAAAGAAATCTAAAGTAAAAATCTTTTCTTCTCGACTCGGGATCATCATAAGGGCCCACCAGCGGCCGAGCGGTAAAGTCGCTGAACTCTGGTAGTTTGGTGTGAGGCTCGAATCCCGCGATTGGACTGGCTGCATGGTCGTGTTCGTGATTTTACCCATGTATAACGTATATACGAGCCAGTTCCTCTTGGACGTTTCTCCACGAAGGCATCCCTCTCCTTAGACAGATAGCCCTTGAGTGCTTTGCCGTAATCAAACAAAGCAATAACCATTGATCATCATAAAGTCCCTATCGTTTTAAGATCATTAATTTCAAAAGTTAGGTTAGATTAATCGATAAAGGCAAAGAAACTCGAGGTCTATCTGTCTATGGAAAGGAATATCTTCTTGGGGGACTTCCTGAGGAAAACTGTGTCGTATCTATGTTACACATGGGTAAAATCTCGGAACCGCCCATGCAGCTGGGCCGTTTGCTGGGATTTGAACACACATTAATTTCTTAATACTCTGGAATACTCTCCAATTTAAATCTCGAGTTGTCCAATAGAGGTTCCCCACCCCCGTTAAAGGAGGGTACAAGATGCTGCTAGGCAATTTACCAAATAGTTTTGATTGATTATTGTACATATATGCAAAGGGAGACACTGTCTTTTTAGTATAACTTTATTTCAAAATACAGGATATATTTTTACACATCCGTATTTGACAAGCCTCACCAGTCGCCGAGTGGTTAAAACCACTGAATACTAGTAGTTGAGCCCACTGAATGGCCTGGCTGCGTGTTTGGTTTTCCTGCTTGATCATGTGAAGTCGCCAGTTTCCGTTAAGAAGACATCCCTTCCCATAGGAGAAAGCCTTCGTGTCCTTTGCTTTATTTAATTAACCTAACCTAACTTAATCGTATCTGATATTTACGGCAATGAATAAGGCTAATTTTTTAATTATTTCGGTTACTCTTGTAGAAATAAAAAAAATTTGGATATATTAATGCATTGAGTTTTATGTGATCGGGTTTCTATTGTAAAACGATTAATCAAAATATTTTTTGCCTCCCCCCCCCCCCCAAGAAAGACACTATTTCTTAAAGAAATTTTATGGAAAACTACGAATCTTTAAGTACACAGTATCTACGCTAAAAATATGAAACTTAAATTTAAGGTATTTCTACGAAAATGTCTGACCAGTCCCTTTTTCCCTCCTCTTCTATTCGCTTTTATCTTCCCTGAAACTGTAAAAGTTAATTGTTGAATGCTACCTTTTCAAGTAGCATTCGTGTTTTCAAGTAAGCAAAGTTTTAAACATTTTCTTAAATAAAATATTTAAATTCAGTTTATTTTTTGTGTGATAAGCTGTTTCTGTCCTGAATTTTTTTACTACAATTATGTAATGTTTTGCTCGGCAAAGCAACAGCAATCTGTGGAATTTCGTATTATAATCACAGTAACTGCTTTTTTATTAACATTGATTTTTAAGATTCGTTCGCATTTTTTGCTTCAGTCAGTTTTATTTTTAATTAATAGATTATGTATTACATGCACCATGTTCATTTCCTAAAATTAACTCTCTTTTTATTTATTAATAATGTGTATAGAATATCCGAATTACCAAATATGTTCAAGTCATTGGAAAGCCTTGGGAACTTGAAAATCATTTATGGTGACGGTGAAGTCTAATACGGCGTACATTTTTAAGTATTTGCTCAATATATATATAATAGTAAGAAGCATATAAATACATCAATACAGTGCTCTTTGGAAAAGTAAAATGTTTTAACAATCCTTTCGAAAACATTTTTGAGTCTTTATCAGTATTAACTTCAGGTTAATGGGCTTATTTTCTTAAAAATCTGCTGGAGGCCATGTATTTGTGCATAGTTTCTCAAATACCTTGCATACTGATCGTACTCAAACGTAGGTCAGAAATTTGGTATCATATAAAATTACATTACATTTCTTTGTTATTAGACGTAGTTTTCTTAATTATTAATGTGCCAAAAACAAATTTACAGATGATTGAAAAAGCTTACCAAGAAATACCACATTTCATTTGAAGTCGCAAAGATCAAAGATCAAGTAACTGGAAGCTCTTCGGCAAACATCTGAAAATTACGTTTTTGCTCCAGGCTTCTGCTATTAAGGCATAAGTTAATCGATTCATTAGATAAATATGTAAGCAATTTGTAAGTCCTGAGTTGTTTAACAATTTACTTCAGCTTCGTATGACATAAAAACTGCGGTTATTACGTATACACAAAGGTCTCGTATATACAAAGGTCTTTGATTGTGAACAGTTTAATATAACAGCTTTTTGTTGAAAAGTGATTGCAGTTGAGACTCTTGTCTGTTGGATTGAAAAAATTTCAATGTGTATGATTTTTACAATCGAATTAATTTAAAGAAGTAGCTTTGTTTTTTGATCAGTTGATTTAAA